TAAACTAATTAGTATATATATATATATATATATTAACAATTACTTGGCTGGTGAATACTTTTATTCTTTTTATGAGAATATAGATTTAAATTATATTGTATATTTTCGTTAAGAAATTGAGTTATATATGTAAAAATTAAATAATAAAATTAACCCATTTTAATTACTATTAGTTTCTTAATAAATTAATTATTTAATTAATGTCATACATAAGCTTTATTACAATTTTTTTTTTTTTTGGAAATAGAAAATGTATACATCTAATTAATTAGGTGACATATATATACCATTTATAACATTACATAAATAATCTTTAAATCAGAATACATACATAAATACTTACAATTGTGATATTTAGGAGTTGTGTAAATATTTTTATACTGATGTATAAAGAGTGGGATGGTTGGAAATCTAGTCATTAATCATTAGACTTTTAAGCTACTTAAACAAGTTGCTAATTATATATATATATATATGTATATATATATATATATATATATTTTGTGTGTGTGTGTGTAATCAGGTAATTAACTATACATCCAGGTTAAACATGGTAAAAAAGTTTTAGGTTAAAGTTAATTTTTTAAATATCTCTAGTTACCTCTTTTCTGTAATAGAAAATAAATTAAACAAACTACAGAACAAAGTAAAAACCGATGTAGAAGAATATTATAATTGAAAAGGAAGTCAAAAATTACAATCTAATTAAATATCTAAAGAAAGCAACAGAAGATATTCCACTACAGATATTTATAACCCTAATTGCCATGTTTGATTTTTCTTGGTGGCAAACTGTTGGCTGTTGCTTACTAAGATCTGCACCCAAAAAGAACATTAAGAAAAAGATTGGCAGATGAAATTGAAGATATCAAATAATAGTCAACTTTTGAGTTCCAAATCAATCCTAAACAAGAGAAAACGCCCTCTAGAATCCGTTCGTAAAGTGAAACTACAACCCGGACTCGAATCCAAAGAAAATTGAAGCAATCACCGCGTAATTGCTATAAAAGCCGGAAGATGAGAGGGACAAATATCAAGTATATTAAGATGTACATTCAAATTTTGAATCGACTTACAGAATCACAGGTAGTATACCACAATGAACAGCCCCCAAAAACTATATGAAAAAGGAAACGAGAGAAAATGGGGGGGGTGGGGGAAAAAAAAGGAAAAGAAAAGAAACAACAAATGATACAAGGTAAGCTTTTAAGCAGACAGGAAGCCAACCCAAAATATCTTGAATGGAAAAGTAGACATGCAGACTTCTAAACAAGTAAAATACAAAACTATCTAGAGCATCTTCTCAATCAACCAAGCTTCTTATCCGATCCTTTGAGGTTCAAATTGAACCATTTCTTTTTGGATTTATCCTTACCATCTATACCTCCATCTTCCCCCGGACTATCGGCTTTTATGTCTTCGCCAGGAACTTTGCTACCACTACCATTACTCAGATTACTACCACTTCCACTTACACTACTTACTACCCTGGCCACGGTGAACGATGAGTGGATGCCATCGCGTTGTTTTAACAGCTCATCTACCTGGGGGGTATTGCACAAGCAAAGAAGCAATGGGAGGTTAAAAATATAGACCGCATAACTCCATGCTTGCCAATTTTAAGTGGAATAAGTTCATTTAGTCAAAAATATGGAGAAGAAAATACAGCACTCGCCATTCCATTGTTTGCAAAATGAAGATTGTAAACTTTTTTTTTAAAAAAAAAGAAGACTCCAACTGTAATCTTCTCGTTTTGCTGCTACTTTTACATGAGAAGGGGAAAAACAACAGAGAGAATATTGAATTATGTACAGAATGATCAGATTATCCACCCGTGATTAACTCAGTTTAGGAACATAACATATAATGAGAACAAACACATGCAAACGCACAAATTTATACGTAGAGGTGTTAATATTTTGCATGCATAAAGCCAGCTAGCATGCTAGTAAACAAGCAAAACAAAATATCTGAAAGGGAATTGGAATTTTACAAACATACCGCTTGTTTTTCCTGGCTGTATCTGTTAGTTACTTCCTGAAAACGTGCCAATGCCTAAAAAAAAGACATCACAAAGAATTATAGAACACATATTATCAAAGAGACCCATGACAGAATCTGACCAGAAAGGCAAAAGTTACTTTTCTGTATTCAGTCTCAAATTGGCGCAACTCATTCCTTTTTCTTAAAATCTGGGCCTCTATGTCTTTAAGTTTCTCAGTTGTATCCTCATAAGTCTTTGCACAGAGTGCCTCAATTGTATAGGTAGCAGTCTTAAAGAAATTATCACCTGGACAATTTAGAGCCAATATATTAGAAATTTAATCATAAAAACAGTTTTCATATCCAAATTCCCCAAGATAAAGAATTCACAAGAAGGTCAAGCCTCCAGACCATAAACAGCAAATATATGAGTGCCAGCTTTTAGTTCCGAAACCTCACACGGTTGAAGACCTTCCAGCCTTTTAAAAAAAGCAGACTCAGGATCCTTGGCTATTGCTAACTGCATCACCATCAGCATGTGGATTAATTATCACATCTTCTGGCTATTAAAAAAAAAGCAAATATCTATCAGAAGGGAAGGGAGAAGATAGAACCTTCGTACCGCATTCACAGTAGAATCCATTCTGTATACTTGGAAATGTAAGAAATACATGCCTGCAGATGTCACCTTGCCCGTTTTCTCACTGTCTTCCTGCACACAAGGAAAATTTTAAACCACCTCTACCATAGCATGTACATTTGCAAAGTTCACATACATGCCAACGCACATTGCAGAAAAACTTAAAATTCAACTTCTCTTCCCATCACCAAAAGAAAATAGAGGACAATAAGAGAACTATCACAGATTTAAGAAAGCTTTAATTTGCAGAACAATTTTGGGAGATATGGAACAAAAAGCGAGCAAAACAATAAAAGATTAAGGATGCTGAAATCAAAATCTTGTGCCTCATTTGGATCATAAGGTGCAACCAAGCAAGATATGTAAATCACATGGTGCTATAATGCTACCTCAAATTACACCATTTAGATATCCAGACAGATCGACATGTGCTTTACTTTATGACCTTAGGATGTTCAACGTTAGAATAACTATTATTATTTTCTGGTAATATTCAACCGGAACAAGGAGTGAAAAACTGAGTCAAAGAAAATAATGAGAGCACACAAAAATGGCCCAACACACATAAAAAAACCATACTGCAAGTTTAATCTTCCCAGTCCAAGAAAAAAACATAAAACAAACACCCTGAACATAAACCAAGGGAATTCAAAACCCTACTCAATTAAATCCTTCTTTTAACGAAGTCACTCAAAATGACCTACCAAAAAGAAAAGGATACAGCCGAAAAAAATAACCTTAACTGCCAAACACAATTTTTTTTTTTGGAGTAATTTTTTCTTACAATAAACAAGTTCCAGGAATATATTGCCAGCCATACAAAAATAAAGTGATTAGAAGCCATATTCCTAAGATGTAAGCCCACAAATTAAACTAGGACGTGAAGTTCAAATTCATAGACTTTCCTCTCACATTGGAGACCAAATATAAAATAGTGAACCAATAAAGAGAAATTGCATAGCATCTATCGCTCAAACACCTTCTGGAAAATTTTCTCAACAAAATGATTCTGGACAACAATTATAGGTAAACTTGAAAAAAGCCATTTACCTGTAAGGCTAAGCCATAGCCACCATTGGCATCTTGCTCAAAATAGAGTAACTGAAAAAGAATTAGATACATTTAACAGACAGATTTCACGTCAGATGGAAGGAAAGCCACTTAAAAAAAAAGACAGCTAGACTGGGGGCTACAAAATCCTGGAAACAGATAAATCATTCAATTTAAAGATCCAGCATCAGAAATCTTCAAAAAGAAAAAGAAGCACCAGACCATACCTTAAATTTGCTTTGTGCAGTTGAAGTTACTCTCACAACAATCCCTGCTTCAGCTTGTTGTTCATTTATAGTTACCCCAAAGAAATGAGCACACTGCTTTTCTACCTGTTGTAGAACTTACAATAAGATTAAAACACATATCCAAATACAGTAGTTGGACACATAAAAGCTGAAAGCAAGTTGACACCTTTCCACTAACTGATGTTCCAATAGGCAGAGGTCTGATGGTGACAGTTCCATTCAATGCTTCTTCAAGAACATTAGCAGAGATTGTAGTCTTGATAGGGACACCAAGTTTGCTGTATGCAAACAAAGCAGTGTTAAAGAAAGCTAGATCATTATCAAAGTTACGAACAGAAGAACAAAAAGTATTACCTGAATAATGCTGCAAACATAGTATTTACAGTTCCCAGATTCGACAAGTCAATCTCCATGTCCATGCCATCAGTTTCAAGGGCCTGCTCAAATTTTTAGATACAAAAAAGAGCATTAAGATGAGACACTGTCCACGGGGAAACAATTTAAAAGCCTGCACAAGAAACCTGACAAAAACAAAAATAAAATAAGAGAATTGCAGGCTGATAATTCCGTCTAAGAAAGAGTAAGAAATAGCCCAGTGCAAAATCTCGAATCACGAACTGTAAAGCATTTGGAAAATGAAAGTCCATCTATATACAAAGTGACTGAGCAAAATAGTCATGGCACATATATAAATAGCACAGAGTCAGTTATCTGTATGCTACAGACAAATGCACACACACACAAAGATTCACATCAAACACAACAGGAAACATAAATGTTGGATTTTTGGTTCATATTTAGGCAGAATACTGTAAGCAAAAGGCTCGGGCTTTACTTATCCTGGAGTGTTTCTCGTTATGGAGGTATTTGTTATATTGGATTTATGGAAAATGCCTGCAAGTGGTTCCCTGATGTAGGCTTATTTGCTCCGAAACCACCTAAAATTCCCTCTCTCTTTAATTTCTAGGTGTGCTATTGAGTCATTTTTAACAACACACAAATACAAAATGCTCACACAAACAGACTGGAGGGTGGGCAGACTAGATAGCCAAGGTTCCAAAAAGAAACTGATAAAACTATAGAGTGAAAAAGGGAGGGAAAAAAACCTCAAAGCCTGCACTATCATATTGCCTTCTCTTCTCCGGGTCAGATAAAATGCTATAAGAATATGCAACCTCCTTAAAAAGTTCAGATGCTTCAGGATTACTAGCATTCTTATCCGGATGATACCTGCCAATTATGTGGATAAAAGATTAGTTTAAATTAAAGGTAAAATGGCATCTCTCAGAGAAACACCACAAACAGACTCTGACACCATCATCATCAGTGCACAAGTGAAGATGAAAATCAAGGATAGGCAGAATCATGCAAGATCATTAGCAGGATAAAAATCAAGTGTAAGCTTCATTGATTGCAATCAAATTGAACCTAAATTCTTGTCATTTTTTTGCTAGAATTTTATGGTATGAATTGGACTTCAATGGAGCTCAATGTAGATAGCATGCAAAGAATCATGCAATTGATCTTATTGCAGTAGATTCCCTACAAAATGCTTTTTTCGACCAATGCTCCTAGCTTTTTGTAGATGTCTGGCACAATCACTACAGTATAATTTAGATGCTGACTGAGTAGAAGACTTCATAAACGTTAGTTGTAATCCACAATAAGTTACTGCATACACCTAAGAAAGCATGGGTTTAACATTAAAGTAGTTGGTCCAGAGAGATAACTGTATACCAAGATTACCTAGCTGAGGTAACTGATAATATGCTGATCTCTTAAATTTTCACCAAAGTTATAGTCTCAGGTAAGGCAAACTGAAGGGATAGTATGGTCCATGTAAGACTCCAAACAGTAAGGAACAAAGTCTTTAATGGAATTGAGTTAAACTGTAGAATGATATTGGCAAATATGATGAATTCTGTATAAACTAAACTGGGAAGATAATAAACCACGCTAGAAATGGAAGCTTCAGTGCCATATTACTCAGTTGAATAAAGAATTTGGTAACTTAAACACCTAATGCATATATCTTAAATCTATTTGTTAGTTCACATAACACAGATCCTGAACGTAAGGATAAAACCCATTGAGCTACAATCAAGCTGCTAACTCC